GAGTTTTTCTAATGTTATATTCTATAATTTTTATGGTTTCAAATCTTAGATTTAAGTCTTTCATCCATCTTGAGCTGATTTTGTATAAGATGAGTGATGAGGATACAGTTTCATCTTTCTACAAGTGATTTGCCAATTATCCCCACACCATTTGTTGAATAGGGTGTCCTTTCTCTACTTCATGTTTTTGTTTGTTTTGTCAAAGATCAGTTGGCTGTATTTGGCTTTAATTCTGGGTTCCCTATTCTGTCCCATTGGTCTACATGCCTATTTTTATACCTGTACCATGCTGTTTTGATAACTGTTGCCTTGCAGTATAGTTTGAAGTCAGGTAATGTGATGCTCCAGATTTGTTCTTTTTGTTTAGTCTTTCTTTGGCCATGCAGGCTATTTTTTAGTTCCATATGAATTTCAGGACATTTTTCTAGTTATGTGAAGAATGATCATGGTACTTTGATGGGAATTGCATTGAATCTGTAGATTGCTTTTGGCAGTATTGTAATTTTCACAACACTGATTCCACACATCCATGACCATTTGTGTCACTGATGATCTCTTTTAGCAGTGTTTTGTAGTTTTCCTTGTAGAGGTCTTTCACCTCCTTAGTTCAGTATATTCCTAAGTATTTATTATTATTATTATTTTTGTAGCTGTTATGAAGGGGATTGAGTTCTTGATTTGATTCTCAGCTTGGTCATTGTTGGTGTATAGCAGTGCTACTAATTTGTGTACACTGATTTTGTATCCTGAAACTTTACTGAATTCATTTATCAGATATAGGAGCATTCTGGATGAAGCTTGATGGTTTTCAGGGTATATGATCATATCATCAATGAAAAGTGACAGCTTGCCTTTCTCTTTACTGATTTGGATGCCATTTATTTCTTTCTCTTGTCTGATTGCTCTGGATCACACCAGACAGCAATTTCTGTGATATTTGACAAAGTTTTGATATTTGTAAACACAAATAAACAATAATCACAATAAAATAAGGAACATACTTATCACACCCAAAAGGATTTTATATAATTTTTGTCATATTTGTTTTGCTATTGTCTAAGAAATTGAGTAATTTTTAAAGTAAAAAATCCAAAAGACAAGGAAAGAGAAAAGGAAATATGGAACAGGTGGCTGAAATAGAAAGTACTAGTAAAATGGTAGATTTAAACCCAAATACTTTAGTAATCTACAAGTGTAAGTTAACTACATGGTTTAATTAAAAGACATATTACTAATTAATTAATGGGAGTGAAAGAATAAATCGGCCCTGCCGAAGAATTTCAAATAATTTTAAAATGTAGAAGGAATGAGGGAAGTAGAAAATCAACATTAGAACAACACAGTAATAATTGCTACAGACTAGCAATTCATCTGCCGATGAATGCTAAAATTAGTGGGAGAAACTTAGAGGAGAAACAGAACACTTGCACAGTCTCAAACTACCTCCTCCAAAATATTTATTAATTACTGTGGTTATTTTAACACATGTCCACAAATTCTTTGATACTCCTCCCTCCAGAAGAATAGCTTAATTTTCTTCTCCTTGAGGATGGGGCTAAACTTTGTGACTTGCATCTAACAAAAACTATGAAAAAGGGAAACACAGTAACTTTACGACAAAAAAAAATAGCAGACACCACTTCAAGTGATCAAGGTTAATATCATCAGTAACAAATCATGTTAATATAATGTATTATATGTTGCAATTAAAAGGGCACTTTACCTTTGGGGTATTCTTCCCAAAAGCCCATAACCCCAGGCTAGTCATGAGATAAACCCAAACTGAGGTTTTATACAAAATATCTGACCAATACTCTTCCAAAGTATCATGGTCACTAAATAGAAGGAAGGCTGAGAAGCTGTCATAGACTAGAGAAGGCTAACAAGACATGACAACTAAATGCAACATGGTATCCCAGACTACATCCTGAGACACTAAAGCACATTAGTGAAAATTAGTGAAATCCAAATATATTCTGTAGTTCAATGAATAGTACTGTCCCAATATTAATATCTTTGTTTTAATAAATGTTACGTGGTTATGTATGATGCTAACATTAGGGGAAGCTGGGTAGGGTACACAGGAACTCTGTACTATCTTTAAAACTCTTGTGTAAATGTAAACATTTCAAATAAAACAATTTTTAAGACACTAACAGGCTGGCAAAGCCATGTACTATTCATGAGATATATCTAAAATATAAAGATACAGAAAGAATGAAAGTAAAATGACAAAAAAGATACGTTATCCCTAAAAGAAAAAATAGCCAATGTTGCTATACTAATATCAAGGTAGATGTTAAGATAAAATGCATCATTAAAAACAAATATGAATACTTTATAACGAAATGTTCTATTAATTTGGATGATAGATCAGTTTTTTTGAGACAGGGTCTCACTTTGTCACCCAGGCTGGAATGAAGTGGTACAAATACAGCTTACTGCAGCCTAAACCTCCTGGGCTCAAGAATTATTGCCTCAACCTCCCAAGTAGTTGAGACTACAGACCCATGCTATCACACCAAGCTAATTTATTTATTTATTTTTTATTTTTGAGATGGATTCTCACTCTGTCGCCCAGTCTGGAATGCACTGGTGCGATCTCAGTTCACTGCAAGCTCCACCTCCCAGGTTCATACCATTCTCCTGCCTCAGCCTCCCAAGTAGCTGGGACTACAGGCGCCCGCCACCACGCCTGGCTAATTTTTTGTATTTTTAGTAGAGGCAGGGTTTCATTGTGTTACCCAGGATGGTCTTGATCTCCTGACCTCGTGATCCACCCGCTTCGGCCTCCCAAAGTGCTGGGATTACAGGTGTGAGCCACCGCACCCGGCCCACACCTAGCTAATTTTTGTACTTTTTGTAAAGACAGGGTTTCACCATCTTTCCCAGGCTGGTCTCGAACTCCTGAGCTCAAGTGATCCGCCTGCCTCAGCCTTCCAAAGTGCTGGGATTACAGGCATGAATCACAATGCCCAGCCTTAATTGTAAGTCAGCATATTAACAACATGGGCTAAAAACTATAGACAGCAAACACTGACAGAATTAAAAGGAGAAGTAGACAAATACATAATCATTGTATAAAATTGTAGAAGATTTTAGAACAACTGTTTCAGTAACTATTGAACAAAGAAATAAAACATCAGTAAGAATATAAAAAAATTTGAATTTGACAATAAATCTGATCTAATATATAGAACACTCCTACCCAACCCAACTGCAGACTATATATTCTTCTCAATCACATAAAATATTTACCAAAATTATCATAGTCAATAAATCAACTCTCAACAAACTTCAAAAGACTAAAATCAGAGTATGTTCATTGACCACAATGCAATTAAACTAGAAATTAATGATGTAATGATTATAAAACCTCAAATTTTTGGAAATTAAGAAACATACTTCTACAATCATGAGTTGAAGAAGAAATGACAACAGAAATCAGAAAAATTTTGACCTGAACAATAATTAAAATACTATATATCAAAACTTGTAGGATGTAGTTAAATGAATGTTTTGAGGAAATTTTGCTGTGAGGTATGTATTACAAACAAAAAAAATCCTTAAAATAATTGAGCTAAATATTCATCACTAGAAATCGGGATATATTCACCCTAGGGAAGTTGACTGAAAAAAAGGAAAAAAAAGAGTTAAAGAAAAAAAAAAAAAAAAACAAAGAAAAAATAGATGTTAGGATATAGTGGGAAGGAGATAAAAAAGGGGTTGGTTAATGGGTACAAAATACAGTTAGAAGGAATAAGATCTGGTGTTCAGTAGCACAATACAGTGACTATAGTTAATAATTTACTTTACATTTCAAAATAACTAAAAGAGTGAAATTGGAATGTTTCTAATACAAAGAACTGATAATGTTTGAGGTGACAGATAACCCAACTATCCTGATTTGATCATTATATATTGTATATTTGTATCAAAATGTCACACATACCCCATAAATGTGTATAATAATTATGTATCCATAAAAATTAGAAATAAAAGAATTGTAATAAGTTAGCATATAGTAATCACTTATCAGCCTTTTGGCTAAGATCAAGTGTAGACATTACAGTAAAGATAAAAGCAAAAAATAATAAAGAGGAAATAAATTTTTAAAAGGGTCAATCAAGATAAAGGTTGAATTTTTTACAAGATTAATAAGATTCAAAACTCTGTGAAGTTCAATCGAGGGTAAAAAAAGAAGCTACAATCCACTAATTTTGAGAATTAAAATGAGGATAGCATTACAGCTATGTCAGATGTCAAAAAGAGAACAACTTTATTCAATACATTTGAAAAGGCAGATCTAATGAACAAATTCCTCTAAAAGCACAGCTTGCCAAAACTAACAAGAAAATAAAATACCTTGTTAATCCTATTCATTTAAAGACATTAAATAAATAATCCAAAGCCTTTCACAAAAAGAACTCTTGGCCAACATGGCTTCATGAATTCTACTCAACATTCAAGGAAGAAAAAGTCTCTTCTAAAAAACATAAAAAAAGAATACTCCCCAACTCATTTTAAGAACCCATCATGGATAATATTCAGCTATACCTGTCATTAAAATAGTAAATTTATTTTTTATATTTATAGATATCTGCTGCCCTGAGCCACCACTATGTGTAACACCCCACGGTATCCCTGGATATCACCATAATTCACCTTCCAAAAACCAAAAGGGCTTCCAGGACCCCATTTTACTCTACATGTGGCATTCTGATTGACCACTGCCCATGTCAGTCAGTTCACAAAATAATCTCACCCTCTAGGTACCATCAGTGGACTCACACAGGGATAAGATGAGCTCTGACTTCCCCATTTGTTTGGCTCAATGAAGCTCAGGGTTGGCACACCTGTAGGGGCAGTACCAGTGTCCAGCAGTCATCCCACTTCAGCTTCCACTGGATACCCTCCATCCCTGTGTGTCTTACCCATAGACCTTCCACCCCTCTGGTAGAGGATGGTCCTTATAAGATAGATGCATTGAAACTACTAACCATGTTCAGGTACATGTCTTAACATTACAGTAAGTATAGCATTAGCTGTATGAAGGTCCTTGTCCATCAATAACGTCTTGAGGTCAGAGACATCAATTAGATCATTCTGGAGAATTTGGGTAGCAGCTAAGAGTATCTGTGTAGCTGCAGAAAGAGAGCAAAAGCAAATGTTTCAACAGCAGAAACAGAGCATATGTTATTAGTTATCACTTAATAGACTCAGGTTGCATAAAATATGAAGATCTGATTCTAGAATTTTACATGGAACAATTTGTATAGTTTTAAAAACTAGAGTGTATTATAATAGCTAACAGTCACAGGGCACTTACTAAGTGCTAGCTGCTGTTCCAAGCAATTTCACTTTACCAAATTACAAATGTCCTTATAATAATCCCAAGATAGGCATTTTCATCCCTGCTTTTCAGATGAAAACACTGAGGTTAGCAAAATTAAGTGACTTACCAAATAATATATTGGTAGTAAGTGGCAGGGACAGGATTTAAGTACAGACCCTATAGTTCCAAAGCCCATCCTCTTAACCACTGTGCCTTTCAAGTAGAAACATATAGGTAGTCAACCTTTATCCCTTGAGCCACATATTACTTCATATGTGGCCCTGAAATCATTGCAAAGCATTACAAATAATCTTTAAATCAAAATTATCTTTCATTATTTAACTTAAAGTTATGTTACCTTAAAATGATTAAACTGATAAATAACCTATAAGCATAATTTTGTTCTAAGAAATTAACTGGATATTAATATTGTGAAAAATAACTACTTCAGTCCTTTGTTGACATGGGTAGCTGCTTCTTCCACTTCTTAGTCAATCTGGCCCCAGTTGAGAATATTGTATAAATAAAATAACTTACAGGTGAAATAGAAGGTATAGCTGGTTGGATGTAAGAGCACAAACCATGCTCCAATGTGATCCAACAATAATACTACCTTCCATTTATAAGGCAACTACCACATGATAAGCACTATGTTAGAGACTTAACATTTAATACCTGGCCAAATAATCAAAGAAGATAAAGGTAAAATATGGATATTGGGAAGCATTCAAAGACTCAAAAATTACATATCCCATGTTGTTTTACTTTGGAACCTAACGCAAAATGTGCTTCAGCAAAATAAAGGAGTAAATCATGACAGGGATTCAGGAAACATGTGAGCCATAGAATACTACTAAAGAGAAATTCTGGGATGACAGCTGTTTAGTGGGTGTAGGGGAGAAACAATTCAAATCAGAACATCTAAAGTACATAAAACTGTGTTTGAGTATTTTGAAAATGTCAATATTCAAACATTTTTTATTATGATTTCAAAAATCATAGTCAATGTTTGACTAACATTTCAAACATGATTGTGCCAGAAATGTTCAAAGTCCAAGAAGTGAAATTACCTATGCAACATCATACAACCGGTCAGTAGGAAAAAAAAATCCAAGTACTTAAAATATGACTGCAATGTTGTTTTTCACATGCACACACCACCAATTTGCAACCCTTTTTTTTAAAGCTTTTAAACATTGTTTTTATTTCTAAACAATCTCAAACTCTCAGAAAAGTTGCAAGTACAGTACAAAAATTTTTTGTCTGAAACATGGGAAAAAGTAATAGGTCTATAGGAAAATACATAAGTTTTTTTAAAAGATAATTGTTAACTCCAGGAGAAAGAGGAGGCAAGAGATTGCACATGCAAAGAGGCATGGAGGTAATGAGATGACTACTGACTCATCAATGAGCTATTTTGAACAGTCATAATACTACTAATTAAACACTGACTACTGATTTAACCAAAAACTGTGATAGAATTACATTTTCACACACTTGACTCTATAACTTTGTAATCTACCTAATACAGAGGCATGGTCTCAATTCTTACATCTATAGAAGCATTATTAGCCTATTATCCTTTTGAGCATTAAGGTTCTCTTCTTTAAAAAAAGGAATTAACGGGCCGGGCGCGGTGGCTCACGCCTGTAATCCCAGCACTTTGGGAGGCCGAAGCGGGCGGATCACAAGGTCAGGAGATCGAGACCACGGTGAAACCCCGTCTCTACTAAAAATACAAAAAATTAGCCGGGCGCGGTTGTGGGCGCCTGTAGTCCCAGCTACTCGGGAGGCTGAGGCAGGAGAATGGCGTGAACCCGGGAGGCGGAGCTTGCAGTGAGCCGAGATCGCGCCACTGCACTCCAGCCTAGGCGACAGAGCGAGACTCCGTCTCAAAAAAAAAAAAAAAAAAGGAATTACACCATTTGAATGAAAAGGATTCCAATGCCTGGATATAAAAGCAAAATGTGTTTCAAATTCCATTGATATTCTAAAGAAGAAAAGGATAATAAGAAAACTTACATTATTTTTCCAGTAGCACTCAGACAGTAATTACTATGGTAACCTATGCCATTAACAAAGTTATTGGCCAATTGTGTTCTAATTCTGAACCTACTCAATTTTTCAAAATGTAATATATAGGAGGCATAAAATTCAATTTATAGCACTGAATTTTCGAAAAGGAAATCTATTGATTTAATAAAAATGTGATATATTTACATTTTGCATCTCTTGACTTTGTAACTTTTTAATCAGTAGCTACTACAGGGAAATGGTTTTGCTTAATTCTTACAACTGTCATATGATATAGGCATTATTATCCTTATTTTGAGGAAAAGAAAACTGAGAGTAAGAGAATATATCTAATTTTTCAGGGCCAGTAATTACTATAGTAATCCACATTATATAATAAGGTTATTTATCCATTAAGTTCTTATGATAGTAAACCTATACAACTTTTTAAAATGTGAAATATTTAAGGCGAAAAGTTCAATTTACATCAGTGAACTTAGAGACTTTTGAGACCAAACCACTCATGTGGAAAATGATCTAAAATCCAAAGAAGTGAAATTACCTAACAATATCCAGGTACCTAAAATTTGACTACAATGTTATTTTCCGTATACGCATCACCAATTGGCAACCCTTTAAAAAAATTCTTTAACTTTTTTATTTTTAAACAATCTCAAACCCTCAGAAAAGTTGCAAGTACAGTACAAAATTTTATCTGAAATATCTGAATGTAAATAGCCAACAAAATGCCCCCTCACCATTAACTATATTATTGTGTATTTTCTCCAACGAGAACATTCTCCTACATAATAAAAATACAATCATCAAAATTAGGAAATTATTACATTGATACAATAATGCCATCTAATTCTCAAACCCATTCACATTCTGCTAATTGTCCTGGTAATATCATTTTTAGCAAAATGATACATATTTTGTGAATGCTATAAAGAAGGTACCAGGATTAACTTTTTTATAAATGAACATTCAATTGAAATAACCTCATTTATTTAAAAGGCCATCCTTTCCTTGCTCCACTGCAGTGGTACCTTTGTTGTAAAGGAGATGGGCATATTATGTGTAGATCTCTTTCTGGACTCTGTATTCTACTCTATTGGTTTCTGTGTCAATACCACACTGTCTTAATTACAGTAACTTTGTTATAAATCTTGATGTAAAGCAACGTGAGTTTTACAACTTTGTCTTCTTGAACTTTGCCCTGGCTATTTTGGTCCTTTGCATTTATTCTCATATTTAAAATCAGATTGTCAGTTTCTATAAAATTATGCTAGACTTTTGATTGGGATTGCATTGAATATATAGCTCAAATTGGTGATAACCGAAAGCATATTGAAACTACAAAACATAATGTATCTCTCCATTTATTTAGGTTTTTCTTTAAATTTTGTCAAATTGTTTTGTAGTTTTCTGTTTAAAAATTATAAACTTGTTTCACTAGTTACTCCTAAATATTTACTTTTTTGTACCATTGCAAATCATATCTTTATTTTCATTTTATAATTGTTTGTGGCAAACTACAGAAATACAATTTTTGAACATAGAATTATAATTTTAAATTGATCATGTATCAAGCAGCTCTGGTAAATTTGTTCATTAACTGAAATACAATAATATAATAACCAGTGTATAGTTTCATGTTTTTCTGCCTATTAATTATATTGCCAATGAATAATGGAAGTTCTATTTCTTCTCTTTTAATTCTTATCTTTCTTATTCTGTTTTGCCTGTGGTACTGGCTAGGACTTTCATACACTGTTGAACAGAAGTGATGATAGTAGACATTCTTGTCTCATTCCCAATCTCCGTGGGCAAGAATTTAAAATTTTCCTTTAAACATGATTGTTGTAGGTTTCTGTAAGTACCCCTTAATATGAAAGGGTGTTGAATTTGATCAAATATGTTTTCTACATCTGTTAAGATAATTTTTCTTCCTCCTTTATTTTGTAATATGGAGAATTACACTTTAATTTTTGTTAATTAATACCAATACTGCCCTCCTAAAAATAACTCAACTTGCGATATATCTTTCCTTTTTATATATCACTAGATTTCATTTGATCCTATTTTATTAAAGCTTTTCCCATTTGTGGTCATGATGGGGACCAAATTATAATTTGGTCCTCATGTAAGGTTTTTATATGAAGATTACATAGGCCTCATAAAACGAGGTTGGACATATTCTTCCTGCTTCTAAACTCTGAAGGAGTTTATGTAAGAATGGTACTATATCCTTTTTAAATTTTTTTTTTTCTTTTTCTTTTTTTTTTTTTTTTTTTTTGAGACGGAGTCTCACTCTGTCATCCAGGCTGGAGTGCAGTGGCGTGATCTCGGCTCACTGCAAGCTCCGCACCCCAGGTTCACACCATTCTCCTGCCTCAGCCTCCCGAGTAGCTGGGACTACAGGCGCCCGCCACCTCGCCCGGCTAGTTTTTTGGGTTTTTTTTTTTTTTTTTGTATTTTTTTTTTTAGTAGAGACGGGGTTTCACTGGGTTAGCCAGGATGGTCTCGATCTCCTGACCTCGTGATCCGCCTGTCTCGGCCTCCCAAAGTGCTGGGATTACAGGCTTGAGCCACCGCGCCTGGCCCTTTTTAAATTTTAAAATAACTTACCAATGAAGCCATCTGAACCTGGAGTTACTCTTCAGATTTTATAATTATTCTTCAGCTACTTTTGGTAAGTTGAGTTTTTCAAGGAATTTGTTCTTTTCATAAAAATTTTCAAATGCATTGGTATAAAAGTATAATTAGTATCTTTTTATGTCTGTGTACTCCATAGTTATGTCCCTTTTTTCATTCCTGATATTGGTAACATTTCTTATATGTAGATCTCTTGGTAGTGAACTTTCTGTTTTTTCTTAAGATATTATTTCATTTTTAAAAGATATTTTAATATAGAATACGATGTTCACAGCCTTTAAAAAAGTTTAGTTTTCAATGTTATTCCATTGTCGATGGCATTCATCAGAGATGGACCACAGCATTCTGAAAGACAGGTGCATTTCACCAGCACTGTAACTCCTGAACAGTAATAACCAATAAACTATCGACTCATGAACTAAGCTAGGCTCCTCCAATGATAATTTTGTAAAAATTTTATGTAAAGAAAGCTACAAATATTTATTATTATTATTATCATCATTATTTAGAGATGGGATCTCGTTCTGTCACCCAGGCTGGAGTGCAGCAGCGTGATCACAGCTCACAGCAACCTTGAACTCCTGGGCTCAAGCGATCCTCCTGTCTTATCTTCCTGAGTAGCTGGGACTACAGTCATGTGCCATCACACCTGGCTTATTTTTAAATTTTTTTTAGGGACAGGGTCTTGCCATGTTGCCCAGGCTGGTCTCAAACTCCTGGCCTCAAACAATCCTCCCCCCATGGCCTCCCAAAGTACTGGGATTTATAGGCATAAGCCACCACACCCAGCCATCAATAATTTTTTTGCTCCTTAGAAAATAATGTATAACTTTTCACTGGTGGCTTTTAGGATTTTCTCTTTGTAGTTGGTTTTCAGCCATTTTACGCTCATGTTCTTAAATATGGTTTTCTTTGTGTTTATCCTATGGCCCCACAAATCCTGACAGGCTTGGTTACTGCCCATTGCCCTTAAACAGTTGTGCTGATTGCTTATGTTGCTTATTTTTTACCAGATTTTATAGTTATTCTATAAAATACAAGCTACTTCATCATATACAGATAGAACCAGGTGAACCAGCTTTACAGATAATTCTAGTTACCCTGCTCTGGTTAAAAATTACTGTTTAGGTTATTACTTTAAACAAAGCTATAGCAATCAAAAACTGATATAAGGATAGAATAAATATAAAAGGAATAGAATTGAGAGTCCAGAAATAAACCCATACATTTATGATCAATTGATTTTCTCTAAGGGTACCAAAATCATTCAGTGGAGAAAGAACAATGTTTTCAACAACTGATGCTAGGACAACTGAATATCTGGACTAAAAAAGGTAAAAATGGACTGTCATCTCACACCACATACAAAAATTAACTCTAATTTATTAAGGATTCAAATAAAAGAGATAAAACTAGAAGAAAACTTGGGTGTAAACCTTCAGGAGTTTGGATTATCTTTATGACATCAAAAGAAGCAACAAAAGAAAGTATAAATTGAACTTTACCAAATTCAAAATCATTTATTCTTCAAAGGACATCAGGAAAGAAAAAAGACAACTAACAAAATGTGAAAAAATATTTGCAATTATCTATCTGATAAAGGTCTAATATCCAGAACATATAAATAACTCTCACAACTCAACAATAAAAAGCCTGATTTTAAAATGGATAAAGGATTTGAATACACATGTCTCCAGAAAATCATTGAGGAGAAAGTATATATCCCAGAACAGGTTTCTAATGCAGACAAAAGCACTCTATTCTGGAAAATAATGCCACAAAGGACATTTATTAGTAGAGAAGAGAAGCAAGCACCAGGATTTAAGAAGGGTAAGCTAGCTCTAATGTTTTGTGCAAATGCAGTTAGGTTTAAAATCAGGACTGCCCTGATCCATAAAGCTGCTAACCCTCAAGCCTTGAAGGGAAAAAATACACACCTGCTCCCATCTTTTGATTGTATAACAAGAAGGTTTGGAAAACCAGAATGCTTTTTCTAGATTGGTTCCATCAATGCTTTGTCCCTGAAGCAAGGATGAGACTGCCTTTTAAAGTTCTTTTGATATTGGACAATGCCTCTGGCCACCCAAAACTCTATGAATTCAACACCAAAGGCATTGAAGTGGTCCACTTGGCTCCAAATATGATATTAGCCTCTACATTAGGGGGTCATAAGAACCTTTAAAGACTCATTACACACGGTACTCTATGGAAAGAATTGTCAACACTGTGGAAGAAAATCCTGACAGAGAGAATATGAAAGGCTTCAGTAGGATGCCACATCAAGCCCCAAACACTACTGGAGAAAGCTGTGTCCAGATGTTGTGCATGACTGCACAGGATTTATAACAGAGCTAAACAAGATCATGAGAGAGATTGTGGAAATGGTGAAAAAAAAAAATGGCAAAGGGTGAAAGGTTTCAAGATGTGGCTATTGGGAGAAATTCAAGAGAATATACACCACACCAGAAGAATTAACTGAAGATGATTTGATAGAAATGAATACTTCCAAACCAGTGCCACATGACAAGGAAGAAGACATAGAAGAAGCAATGCAAGGAAACAAATCAACAATCTGGTAGAAGGGTTCCAATTATTCAAGACTGCTTTGACTTATTTTATGATATGGACCCTTCTATGATATGGACACTGAAACTAAAGCAAACAGTGAAAGACTGGTATCAGACAGAAACATTTTTAGAGAAATGAAAAGCCAATAACATCAGACAAGAAATTATGATGTATTTCCATAAAGTTAAACCAAGTGTCCTTGCCTCTTCTGCCTCCTCTTCTACCTCCTCCACCTCTTCCATCTCTCCCACTCCTGAGATAACAAACCCAACTCCTCTTCCTCCTCTTCCTACTCAACTTGAAGATGATGAGGATGAGGATGATGATCCACTTACATTTAATGAACAGTCAAGATATTCTATCTTATTTTATTAATAATATTTTCTTTTCTCTAGTTGCATTATTGTAAGAAACAGTATTTTTTATATATATATACATACACCATAAAGATACATGTTAATCATTTATGTTATTGATAAAGCTTCCAGTCAACAGTAGACTATTAGTAATTAAGTTTCAGGGGAGTCTGAAATTATACATGAATTTTTGACTGTGCAGCCACTCATTTTCCAGCCAGTCTCTTGAAGCAAAAGTATCCAAATGTGGACTTTCTTTCATTTTCATTAAGCAATCTTTTTTTTATTATTATACTTTAAGTTCTAGGGTACATGTGCACAACGTGCAGGTTTGTTACATATGTATACATGTGCCATGTTGGTGTGCTGCACCCATTAACTCATCATTTACATTAGGTATATCTCCTAATGCTATCTCTCTCCCCTCCCCGCTCCCCACAATAGGACCCGGCGTGTGATGTTCCCCTTCCTGTGTCCAAATGATCTCATTGTTCAATTCCCACCTATGAGTGAGAACATGTGGTATTGGGTTTTCTGTTCTTGCGATAGTTTGCTGAGAATGATGGTTTCCAGCTGCATCCATGTCCCTACAAAGGACACGAACTCATCCTTTTTTATGGCTGCATAGTATTCCATGGGGGTATATGTGCCACATTTTCTTAATCCAGTCTGTCCTCCATATTATCTAGAAGGTGCCCCTAACCCCCACATTGTTCAAGAGTCAATATAAATGAACTTTGAAAACATATACCATCAGCATGGATATAGCTGGAGGCCATTATCCTAAGTGCATTAACACAGAAACAGAAAACCAAATACTGCATGCTCTTACTTACAAGTGTGAGCTAAATATTGGGTACTCGTGAACAGAAAGATGGCAACAATTGAAAGTGGGGACTACTAGAGGAGGGGAGAGGGAGGAGGGGAAAAGGTTGTAAAACTAACTATTGCATACTATCCTCAGTACCTGGGTGATGGGATCATTCATATCCCAAACCTTAGCACCACACAATATACCCAGATAACAAGCCTGCACGTGTACCCCCTGAATCTAAAATAAAAGTTAAAAAAAAAAAGAGAAAGAAAGCATATGCTACATAAAAGAAGTTAGACACAAAAAAATACAATATGATTACATTTATATGAAATGTTCAAAAGAGGCAAATTCATACAGACAGAAAGTAGATTCATAGTCGTCAGTAGTTAGAGAGAGATGGAAATGGAGAATAATTGCTCACAGGTACAGAGTTTCTTTCGGGGTCAAGAAAATGTTTTGGAATTAGAAAGTGATGGTTGCACAACTTTCTGAATATACTAAAAATCACTGAACAGTACACTTTAAAAGGGTGAAATTTATGGTATATGAATTATGTCTAAATTTTAAAAACTACATCTAATTAAAAATACTATAAGGCATCCAATTTTAGAGATATTAAAATGTAAAAAATGTGATACAAAGAAATTTGTTTCATCAAAGCATTTAGAAATATGCCATTGATAAGGGTGTCTGCATTCATGAAGAGTTCTTTGGTAGGTGTTCTCTGCAGACTTGGGGGTTAGGAAAATATGTTGGTGTTGAAATGGTCTCCCTAATTTCAGAAAGAATAAGACGAACCTCAGGGACAGAGGCCAAGTAGAAGTCTTTAAATAGCAAGGACAAAATGATGTGTCATTTTGTCAAGGACAATGTGTCAAGGACAACATAGATAGTGTGGTATTAAGAATAATACAGGGATTGACACTGCAGGGATTTAGAAGGACTGATTAACTGAAGTTAGGATTTCTATAACTGAAATAGATGGGCAGTCCAGTTGTGTACATCTGAAAACTCCAGCGGCACGACTTAAGATTTCACAAAAACTGGTGGTCCCTCATCCAATTCCATACATGATTTAATTCACAGATCCAGAAGTCATTGAAGAAAAACCTAACTACCTTTGAGAAAGGACCTTGCACATATTAATCTTTTTAACCTTGCCTTGTTTTCCCCCTCATTATATCTTTGCCCAATTTTCTTCACTTATTTTTATATTATTATTCATACTATACATCATAAGTGGCTTGAAATCCTTTTTAAAACTAGAAAGACTGAAAACTAAAAACTTGAAATCCAGATAGTCATTTTTAAATGTCATTTTAAAATATTTATTTTCTAGCCATTCTCTTGAACAAGAAGTATTCACTTACCTTTGGACTTTTGGAAATGTGGACTTTCTTTCATTTTAATTAAGAAATCTTTTAAATCCACCTCCATATTATCTGAAAGATCAAAGTCAAAAATGCTGACATTAAAAACCTGATACTGAGTCGGCACATGAAATAAAGACCAATTTACAATAGTTAGCTAAAATTTCACTCTAGCTCAAATGATTGAAACTATTTCAAGAGAACTTTTAACACTTTTTAAAAGCACCCAGTGAACAGTTAATAATATTACTAGCAAACAATAGCTAACATTTTTTAGCTCCTTATATATACTAGGCACCCTTTTATGGTGTTTTACACATATTAAATCATGTAATCTTCATAATAATTCTATGATGTGGGTACTCTTTGCATGCCTATTTTTGAAAGATGAAAGCAAATGGAAACTAAATAATTTGTCCAGGTCACAAAGTCAGGAAGTGTTAGAGGTTGTGTTTGAATTTATGCAGTCTAAGGCCAGAGAAGACGATGTTATTAGATAGAATACACACATACATGCACATGTACACGTACACACACACACACGCATGCACACACACACACACAGTCACACGTGAAGTAACGTGCAATAATGTGACACAGCAGACAATCTAGGGCTGTAATTATATTAAGGAGACTTTGAGTTTAAACAAAATGGCAGACCTGGGTAGTGCAGAAACCATCCCACTACAAATCCCTAGAGACACTCTATAACATGTAACATTCCATGAATGTGTGACTGAGTCATATGAAGGAAATAACAAAGAGTTAACTGGGAACTGAGGTCCAGAATGCTAAGCATTGAGTACTAACACTAAAACTATCTTTGGGATAGAGATGAGACCCAAAAATGGCTAGGTGCTTGATTTAAATGCTCATACAGAGTCATTAAAAAAAAGATTCGAGCCCACATAAATAAGAGTAGGAACTTAGATATCAAATAAAACTGAAATGCTTAAAGGGTTTCAATCCTGGTTTTTTAAAAAAGAGATTAAAATATTATATTTATTGACTCAAATAAACAAGGAGGCCTAAATCTTCCCAATTCAGAGAGACAGGGGAAAAAACAATCTCTTGTGATAAACTGAAGGCCCAGTATGCATCTCATGTGGGTGTGAAGTCTAAATTTATACCAGTCTGATGGTGTGAGAAAACTGAGGTCAAAACATAAAAATTGACCTAGGTGAATAACAATCTGGGGAACCTGGCAAAATCAATAACTAAACTGTACTGGAGAGGTATTCTTAAACCTAGGACTCACAGGATTCCCAAAGACACAAATTGGTTAAGATAAGCCCAAAATAAAAGTTCACCAAAAACCAACAGAACTCAGCAGCTTCTAGAAGTATTCCCAAATGATTTGACTTCCTAAAAGTAAATGTGTATAGGAAAGGAGATCAAGTACGTATTACATGCAGTCAAAGACAGAAAACAAAGGTAAATGTGGACTATTTGAAAACAATCACTAAAACTAAATAACTTATTTTTAAATGTAGTGAGCCCTCAGATATTTTATTTGGTTAAAAATCAAAATGGAGCAAGTACTGTAAAAAAACAAATGAAAGCGGATCTCCTCTGAAAAAGACTGCATATCAAAATAAGCTGCTATTGTCATGTTTTTATTTTATTATACAATTTATGGTATTTTTCCACCCATGCTTATAAGTAATGAAAGGTAAATTTCTAAATAAGCACGTATAGTATCCATATGAGTATGAATAGATATGTTCAATAAATATTTAAATTAGTAGAGTGGTTTGGCTCCAATTTGTATCAACCTAAGCCTCCAACAGAAAAATGACTCCCATTAGTATATTATCCTTATAGGTATACTCTAAGACTATTTTTCATAAGTAGAAAAAAAAAATGAAAAGAATCTCAGGCCAAAAAAATGCTCACCACTGACGTTACAACAGTTAAGGGCTCCATTGAAGTCCTCCTCAGTTAAATTAACATTCAAACATTTCAAGGCATGCTCCAAATCAGGTACACCAATCTTGCCATTATCAACATGTGACAAGATGTTAGCAACTTCTTTAATCTCTACAAAGATAAATGTATACAAGCTATTATGGTGTAAAAAACATTCAAAATAATTTGTCCAAAATTTACCATAGGTAAACCTCAAATTAAATATTTATCTGAACCAAAATGTCTCCAAAGGAAACACAATATTTTCTATTTGTAACTGAGGGCCCACTTCCTTCAAGCAGCACTTGAAACGAAAAAACTTTACGACAAAGAGAATAATACGATGGGCTACTGACATGTATTATAATAAGACTTTATCTTCATTCATTCATCCATTAGAAACTGAATGAGCTACATGCCTCCCTGTACATGTAGATCTAAAGATTTCTACCACTTGATGATGTAAATAAAGGCTAAAATTTGAGATTGAAGCTCTTGATCCCCAGGGCCTCAGATAGTTCACACTGTGCTTTTGTGTGAATTGGGAAAAGGCACCTCCTCTCTATGCATTAGTTACAAAAAAAGGGTACCTCTCAGTAGGCAACTGCAATCCAGCACAGAGGTTCAAGGCTTGGAGTATGAACTGCATTTCAGCCTCCATTTATGCTCTCTCAACAGGCACCTTTGTGCAAAGCACAACCCGTATAACCACATGGGGCAGTCCTGTTGATCTCACACCAATTTAAAATATAAAGCATAATCATTATGTGGTTTTTAATTTTTCTGTTTTTTGTTTGTTTGTTTTTGTTTTTGAGATGGAGTCTCACTCTGTCACCCAGGCTGGAGTGCAGTGGTGCTATCTTAGCTCACTGCAAACTCTGCTTCCTGGTTCACACCATTCTCCTGACTCAGCCTCCTGAGTAGCTGGGATTACAGGCGCATGCCACCATACATGGCTAATTTTTTTATATTCTTAGTAGAGATGGGGTTTTGCCATGTTGGCCAGACTGGTCTCAAACTCCTGAGCTCAAGTGATCCACCAGCCTCAGCCTCCCAAAGTGCTGAGATTACAAGCATGAGACACCACACCCAGCCTAGTTTTTCATCTGTACCATTTCTCAATCCTTTTTTCCCTCAACCCCCAAATGAAGTTGTCTATGTTTCCATATGCTGAAAATTGTTGCATTACACCAGGAGATCTATACCTTCATGGAGATCACTTGGAAAGAACATCACAATATCATCTGAGACCTACATTCATTCTACTAACAGTTATTTTACAACTTCTAAGATCAACAATAAAATATTCAGTCAGTCCCTCGTATCAAAGAGTTTCAAGTAAATTCCTTGAAGAAGGAGACTAAATCTGTCATATCTATAAACAAAATTATAATATGTCATATAGTAAGTGATATGAGAAAAATACACAAAATTATGGAAGCACTGAGAAGGTTTACCTAACCTAGATTTAATAAGTGCTGAACTCTGGGAAGGAAGTCTTAGGGCATGAGAAATGACATTTGAGCTGAATTTGGGGGGGAATTGTCAGTTTGTCTGTCAGGGAATGTATCCAAAGGAAACAGTATATGCAAATAAATGCAAAAACAAATAGAGCCAATTTAAATTATGCTAAGTAGTATGACTACAGAATAAATACAAACACAGAAGTGATAAAGGGTGCGTCTGAAGAGATAAGAAGACAGATCTACTCAGTCATTCATTCAATAAATATTCATGATTATGAGTTCATAACAAAAGATTTGGAACAACAGCATAGTAAATATTACATAAGTATCAGGAGTTAATATCAATTATCTTTAAGAGTTTAATAAGAGCCAGGACTGTGCTAGGTCCTGGAGATACGATGGTAAGCAAAGTGGAGACATATTCTTTGGCCCAATGATACCAGGCAAGTGGGAGGAAGAGATATCAATCAAATAATCAAAAACAAAAATGGATATTTATAATATGAAATAAGTGCTATGAAATGGACAGAATTTAATAAGAGCATATAACAAAGGAAACAAAAAGATCTGACCTATACTGACCACTGATGATAGGCTTTTCTATAATTGACTCATGGAGTCAAAAGAGATTATTCTCCAGGTTTAAGACTTAATGTTGTTTTCCCTTTTTGGTTTCGGACTTACTCGGGACCAATTATCCCTTTCTTCTCACTCATTTCTCCCTCCTGGAATGGATATGTCTATCCTATGCCTGTGTTTTGGAAGCATGCAACTTGCTAATTTCACAGGCTTACAGCTGGAGGAGAATTTGCCTCAAGATGAATTGTGCCTTGAGTCTCACCCATCTGACAAAGATGAGACTCTGGAATTTGGACTTTTGAGTTGACACAGAAACAAGTTAAGACTTTTGGGGCTACCAAGATGGAATGAATGTATTTTGCACGTGAAAAGGGCATGAATTTTGAGGGCCAGGGGTGGAATGCTATGGCTTGATTGTGTCCCCCAAAGTTTATGTGCCGAAAACTTAATCCCCAATGCAACAGTGTTGACAAGTCGGGCCTAATAAGAGGTGATTAAGTCACAAAGGCTCTGCCCGCATGAATAGATTAATATCAGTGATTCAGTTATTGCAAGAATGGGCTTATTATAAAAGTAAGTTCAGTCTCCTCTTGCTCTCTTGCTCTCTCAAACTTTCTTGCCCTTCTGCCTTCTGCCATAGTATGACACAGCAATAAGGCCCTCACTAGATGTGGGCCTCTTGACCTTGGATTTCCCAGCCTCTAGAATTGTAAGAAATGAATCTTTCTCTCTCTCTCAATCTCTCTTTTTTTTTTTTTTTTTTTTTACAAATTATCCAGTCTGTGGTATTCTGTTACAGCAACACAAAACGGATTACAACAGTAGGCAAAGAGGATCAGGGAAGAATATTCCAGGGAATAGAATATGCAAAAGTCTTGTGGTGGGAGGAAAGGGGAGTATCTAAGGAACTAAAGTAAAGTCAATTTAGTTGGAGTACAGAAAGCAAGGATAATGGTACAAAATAACACTAGAAAGATAGGGCATGGAAGATTTTAATTTTTATCCTAATAACGACAGGAAATGTTAAAAGAGTTATAAATAGGGGGAGGTAACATGCTTGTGGAAAAATCTGGCTGAAGTGGGCAGGAAAGATTAGAAATACATTGATACTTGGCAATTATTCTATAAAATACCTCTTATTATTGAAAATGTTCTCACATACAAAGTTCTTACTCACCGTTTACCTTTGGTAATTTTAGATTTGAAGCCTCTTTCCTAAAATCTGCAAATTTAGAAAGAGACATTACACAATGAGGAATGGCATCCTGATCTTACCCCGTTTGAAAGGAAACCAATGGATAGATTGAACATTTCTTTTCCCACTAACATTTATCATTGATAACCATTCCCTTCTTCTCAAAAGTTGTTCCCTGGGTCCCAAAATATCCATTCTCTCCTCATTCTTTGCTTACTTCTTGGGCTCCTTCATGGTTATCTTCCACCAACTCCTTAAATGTGGCAGTTTCTAATGTCACAGATGCTTCCTTTCTCCCTAAGGGGACAAGTTAATCCCCTGCCCATCTATTCAATAAAATCCTTAAGTATTAGTCTAAATTGTCCTTCTTGATCTCTTACCTACCTATCTACTATCTAGTCCTAGAATTTTTCCTAAGAACAAGTTATAGTTATACCCATTCACTCTACATACTTCCCACACAGATGCAAGTTGGTATAAAGATCTGAGGAACAAACGATAGAAATAAAATCTGTCCATTTGCATAGAAGGACTCTATTGTATTAAAGAACAGTTTAGAATGACTCACAACTAGCCCAGGTATTACCTTGGAACAAACAGAGGTTAGAATACACATAAATTATATTTGCCTTAGTTTGTGTTTTTATTTGTTTTAAGCAGGATAAACAAAACAACTAACCTATAAAAAGTACTTTTAAAATAGTAGGTTTGGGCAATTTTACATGATAGCTCCCAAGATTTCTGAACTATTAATATTTTTGGCCAGATAATTATTGGGGGGACAAGGGTATTATCCTGTAAATTATAGGATGTTTAGCAGCAACCCTTGCCTCTATTCACTAGATGCCAATAGTCCTCTCGCATCAGTTGTGATAACCAACACTGTCTCTAGATATTGCCAAATATTCCCTGGTGTGAAGAGGGGGGCAATGGGGGATTTGATTATACTTTTTATTTTGTATTTATTTATTTATTTATTTGAGATGGAGTCTTGCTCTGTTGCCCAGATTGGAGTGCAGTGACGCTATCTTGTCTCACTACAACCTCAGCCTCCCGGGTTCAAGCATTCTTGTGCCTCATCCTCCCAAGTAGCTGTAACTACAGGCACGGGCCACCATGCCAGGCTAATTTTTGTATTTTTTTAGTAGAGACGGGATTTCACCATGTTGGTCAGATTGCTCTCAAACTCCTGACCTCAGGTGATCTGCCCGCCTCGGCCTCCCAAAGTGCTAGGATTATAGGTATGAGCCACTGCCCCCAGCCTGATTACATTTTTTAGCTGAAGCTAAATTTAAAGGCAGGAAATGGCTTTCTAAATATGGGGTAAAATCCATCTCAGTACATTCAAGCTGAGGGTATATAGATGGATCAGGTAAATCTTTGTAAATAAAGTAAACAACAACTCAACACTTACAATTGGCTACAGAAATAAACATTAGTTTTTCAACAATACCTTGTACTTTTCAAAGGGCCTTTCATCCAAAAACAGAAAGCTACAAAACCATTAAGACTTCTCTAAAACACATGAAAGGAAAAGGATTAACTTTGAAACAAAATTATTCTTCAAAGCCATGCAACAAATATATAAATACTCTGAGACCAATTTTACAACCCAGGTCACCCAGGAATTTGATACTGTAATGACTAAATCTCTGTGGGCACATATAACGTATAGACCTGAATATGGTCTACAGTAAAGTGTCCAACAAGTTTATGATGTGATTTAGGGACCAAGTATTAAGACTTAAATAATACTTGGTAAAATAGTTTGAAATCCTTGGATAAAAATTTAGAAGAACAGTAATATCAAACATTTGGACTAGAAAGCCCATGGCTGACCTTCCTAAATTAAAAAACAACAACAACAAACAAAAAAACAACAAAAAACTAAATAAAATTCAGAAGAAATTTTTTATACAAGCTGCTGGTTATCTGTCAAATCAACTCACCTTCAACAAAGGAGTCATCCATTACTTCTTGAAGTATGTCATCAGTAAAAGAAAGCCTATCAGTGTTTTCAAGTACATCTAGATTTTTGTCTTTGTCAAACTGACAATTTTCTTTCATGGAGTCCAATGTATTGATAGTCTCATTCAATGCTACAAACAGAGAATATATATACAACATGTAATTCAGTCCATGGATCTAAATCTTTTGAGCATAACAATAAAATTGATGGCCTCTTTGAGATCTACACTGTCAAATAAGGCAGTCACCAGCCACATGTGGCCATTTAAATATTTAGAGTGGTCCATCCTCTACTCTTATAATTTTCTATAACCCTACTTCAATAGTTTTCTCCACTCCAATAGCTTTCTATTTGTAGCTCTAATAGCTAAAAATAATCCTTTTCTTTATTCTTAAAATTGATTTGTTAAATGTCTGGGTTTGAGGTGAGCTACTCTGCTACAGACAAAAGTATGCTAAAGTTTCCCTAGTTATTCTGTTGATAAGTGCACCATTTCAGTAAAGTCCCCCTATTCCTCATAACTCCTCCTAAATGCCAATTTTTCTCTTTCCTTCCCTGCATCCCTTGTTTCTGTCAGCTAACTTCACCCATTTTAGAGAATCCTCATAGCCTCTTAAGTTTAGCACAGTAACAAACATTTGGACTAAGAAGACCATGGCTGACCTCCCTTGATTTAAAAAATGTTAACAGTTCACATTTCCAAAGTATATTTCTAAAAAGGCATCTCTCAGGATTTTGTTCTATAATATAGTCAATTGTCATTGGTAAGAAGTTTCAAAAACAGGTCAGTGAAGAACAGTTGAAGGGATATTTGAGTCCAGAGAGAAGATTCATTTAGTGGGAAGGAAAGAGAATATGTGAGTTATTTTGACATTTCTGGAAGGCAATAAATGGGAGGAAGAGTCCAAATGTTAAATATGGTTCCAGGAAATATCCACCAAATATGTGGAATAATTTTCTAGTTCTATAGCTGTCAAAAATTATAGAATGAGCTACTTCAAAAAGTCATAAGGACTTCCAAGAGTGAAATGAGTGAATGTACGTTACCTAGCCTATCCCTGCAACCAACTAATTTTGATTTTGATTTTTAAATAGTAAATACAAAAGTTGAGGGAATTCTGTCTCTAATAAACTAGGGAACTATCAAACCCTCTATTACAGTCCTCATTCTCTGACAAAAATAAAATACAACTAGATATAAACAACAAATTTAAGGCAACAATGACATTTAAATTGCTTTGAAATTTGGCCGGGTGTGGTGGCTCATGCCTGTAATCCCAGCACTTTGGGAGGTCAGGAGTTTGAGACTAGCCTGACCAACATGGTGAAACACCGTCTCTACTAAAAATACAAAAATTAGCCAGGCATGGTGGTGTGCACCTGTAATCCCATTTACTCAGGAGGCTGAGGCAGGAGAATCCCTTGAAACCGGGAGGTGGAGGTTGCAGTGAGCCAAGATTGCGTCACTGCATTCCAGCCAAGGAGACAGAATGAGACTCCATCTCAATAAATAAATTAAATAAATTGCCTTGAAATTTAAAGTTTCCTCCTAAATAACTCTTAGATCAAGGATAAAATCAAAATGTAACTGGAAATATTTATAAAATAACTATAATAATAGCCTAACAAGTCAAAGACTGTTAGATACACCAAAGTTTCACTAAAATGAAAATCGACTGCCTTAAACATGTTTATTACCCAGTAAGAAAAAAAAATAAAGTAAATAAATAATTTAAATAAGAAATTAGAAAAACTATTAAATGAGCATAAGGGAACAATATAAAGGACTTACTAAAGATAAAGCCAGAAATTAATTTTTAAACTATAAATAGAAACACTAAAGATAAACCCAAGAGCTAGTACTTTAAAAATAGAGATAATAGAACATTCAGTAGCAAACAAAGAAGAAAGTCATATATATACATATATATATTTAAGAATGAGAAAATAACCATATATACAAAAAAAATGAGAAGAATTAGAAGTGCACAGGGCTGTCCTAATAGTCTAAGCCATTTTAAATCTCAATAAAATTTAAAATTTCCTAGAAGAATCAAATTACCAAACTGACAAAATGAAACAAAAGATGGCAAAAAGCAATCCACCAAAAACAAAGCCAAAAAATCAAAAATAAACTAGAAAAAAACCTGAAATGGGTAAGACAAAGTATTAATGCTCCTATCAGAATTTTTAATAAATAATACCCGCTGTTGATAAAGGTGTGAATTTCCACAAACCTTTAGGAGGGTAATTAGGCAGTAGCTTGTTAACATTTTACATCTAAAAATACTTTGGCCCAGCAACTCCACTTCTAAGGAATTTGCCCTACAGAAAAATTGGTGTGTAACGTGCACAAAGATATATGTACAAGGATACTCACCAAATGTTTGTAATAGTAAAAAATAGCAATAACCCAAATATTCATTAAAAGTATTGTGGACAAAATTATAGTTCATTCCTCTAATAGAACATTATGCAGTCTTTTAAAAGAATGAGGTAGGTTTACATAATATAGTGGAACACAGAATTATATCTAAGATATACTGTCATATATTGCATTCAAGTTGTGCAATATTATGGACAGATGTAAAGAAGAAAGCCTAAAAGGATATTTATGAAACCTTCACATGGATATTTCTGGAGGGTAACATTAATGTTACAAGAGACTTGCACTTTATACTTCTTACATTCCTGGTCATTTGAGATTTTTACAACATTAAAAAGAACCATTCATTCATATATAATAACGGTGTCTTATTTTAACTATTGGAAAAGATCATAATCTTGTTATTTGTCCAATCTCCAATCACAAATGTACAATTCTTAAATTTCAAAATAAAATGCAGGAAGTTCCCCATAACTGAAAGTGTTCAAGTACACATGAAGCAAACATTTGGCATAGATACTATAAAGAAGATTTAAACACCAAATTTAGTGTTTTACTAGATGAACTTTGAATAAGTTCTGTATCGTTGCCTTCTAACAGTTTTACCATAAAGCTCTTACCAATATAATTGGAAAATTTCTGGGTGTCCCTCAAAGCCCTCATACAGTCTTTAATGTTCACCATGTTATCTTCTGCAAGGAAAAGAGAGAGATGACAAACAAGAACCCCTGGACAAAGTAATGCTTAAAGGCTAGTATCAAAATCAGCATATGGCTTATATATTTCTTGAACATTTTATTTACAAGGTACTTCTAGATTCAATTTCATACATTAAGCCTCACAATAACCCTACAATGTTGTAGGTATACTAGTTCTGATTCTACCTATAATGGGAACTGAAGTACAAACAAAGCCCCAGTAACTCTGACCAGTAATTCCATCAAAGGTGGCAAAGCTAGAATTTCTATTCACAGAACTTGAATTTCTAAGATGTTCTTCATTCACTAAATCAAGATAGCAACGAGGACAAAGGATTCTAACAAGCCCACTTCCACAAAATCTAGACCTGCTTGTATAAAAGTATTCTCATAACTGCAAAAGAGGAAATTAAGAGGAAAGGCTCCATTTCCAAGATTACATTTATAGTAAGATAAGCAAATACCTATAGACCTTGCACATCTTCTTTACTCATTAAAAAAAAAAAAAAAAAAACCTGAGAGTAATATTTAAAATGCTTACCAGAAACAAAATCTGATTGAAGAATTTTCTCTACCTCTTCTTTAGGTGACTTAATCCCAATATTTCTTAGAAAGTCTTCCAAGTTCTCCTCAGCTATCATGTCACCTTCAAGCAAATCAGCAGCTAAGACAACTTCCTGTAACTCTATAAATAGAAAAAAAGTTAATTGATAAAAAGCAGTAGCCATCACTCAAGACATTTGTTAGTGGAAATCCATAGTTTATTATTATATCCTGAACTGAGGAATAAGAAATCTCAGAGAGAAATGTATCCCTTATAGCATTCTATGGCCAGCAGCCCAATGTACAAAGAGTTCTCTTGATCTATCACATTTCTCTGGTGCGTTTATAAAATTTGCACAACCAAAATCACTCATATAGCTGAACTTTTCACGGCAATTATACAAAGTAATTATTTTGTTGTGGACCTCTAATGGTAGCAAATAAAATTATTTAGATATAGGAGAAATAACTTTCAGAATTATGAAAAATGTAAAATATGGGACAAGATTTACAAGGGCTCATTCAGTTTTTCTTTTCAATTCCACCAGGACTCAATTGTACCCTAGCATCTGGAATGTTGCTTTATTTCCAGCACTGGTTAAGTCAGACCAACATTCAAATTCTGGCTCCAGGATTTGTAACCTGGAACTGTGCAACTGTGAGCAAATTATTACTACTTAACATCTCTTTCGTCTAAAATGGGATAATACTAATATCTACCTCACAAGGTTGATGTGGAGAGTAAATATAATAACGTATAAAAAGTACTTAAGACAGCATTAGACATATAATAATGCCCCAATAAATGTCATATTTATAGAATAAAATTAGTTTTATTATTATTATTAAAGTCAACAGAAACTAGCTGCAAATAGTAATCACAGTTTAAGCCTTACGTCCTGCCTCACTTTCTGTTCCTCTAACATCACTGGGAGGCAACTACAGATGGCAATCTGAGCTTTGCTGACACCCAAAAAACCTGTATCAGCTCTGCTTTCTTGCCTTAGCACTTGATTTCCTTTAAAAACAGTTTCTTTGCACAACCACCTTGAGTAGAGTCTGCTCATGCTCCCATGTTCCACATACTGTAGGACCAGGAAGCAGAATAGCACTTTCCTGTCTTTCTGCTGCTGCTGTCAGGCCATTTTAATTCTACCTTCAATCAAACCTTATCCCTCTCCCTTGAGGCTCAGGCCTGTTATTCAACTATGTCACTCTCCTGACAACAGTATTGATTACTGTCTCATCACTCCTTCACATTCTCTGAGGATTTTGGCACTTTGATCATCATCCTCCTTCTACCTCTCATCCCAATATCATCCAATGACAATAAGGATGAGCCTGGCCTCAGAGCACTTTGACCTCTTAACTTCAAAAGGCCTTTATTTCCTTTCCAAAGTCATCCACACCAACGGCTACCCTTAATCCTTATCATTTCCTGGAACTGTCTATTCCACCTCTAAAATCTTAAATTACAAGGTCAGACACTGACCATATTCCCTTAAAATTACATGTGTAGATACAGAAAGAAGGCATAGAACCTCAAACTATGCCTATTCTCTTGGCTTCTCCAAGTTCTTTAACAAATAGTCTAGACAGAGTAAACCAGCTTTATCAGTTAGTAATGCAGGATACATTCTGAAAGCCAAGTTCCTATATGCCAGTCAATGTTTCATCAAAACCAAGTTTCATCTGTGTATAAACATATCAATGCCAACATGTTAACCAGAAATTAGGTGAACACACAGCATTAAAAACAAAAACAAAAATAAGTCCTTTCAATAAAAGTAAACCTAACCGTTATAAATAATTCAGTACTTACCTTCTAACCTGGCAGCATCACGCATATTCCTTACTACTTGTGCAAATTCTTCAAATTGTACTTTGTCACCTTCTGTGAGAAAAAACACTTTTAATAGACCAGCCTCATTAAGCAAAAGTCAGATCCAACAAAGCAACCTATAAAAATGTAAACCATTTGACGCACTCATAAGAATCATATTTCCTTTTCATATTTTTGAGTAACCAAAGGATTGATTTTATGGGATTAATAAATATTAAGACTACAGAAGTCAGGCTGATGGCTGGGCAAGGTGGCTCATGCCTGTAATCCCAGCATTTTGGGAGGCTGAGGTGGGTGGATCACAAGGTCAGGAGCTCAAGACCATCCTGACCAATACGGTGAAACCCCATCTCTACTAAAAAATACAAAAATTAGCTGAGTGTGGTGGCGTGTGCCTGTAGTTCCAGCTACTTGGGAGGCTGAGGCAGCAGAATTGTTTGAACCGAGGAGGTGGAGGTTGCTGTGAGCCAAGATCTCACCACTACACTCCAGCCTGGGTGACAGAGCAAGACGCCATCTCAAAAAAAAAAAAAAAAAAGTCAGGCTGAGTTTTCAATTTCAATCAATGGAAACAATATAATCCATATTCCCAAAAGATAAACCAAGATATACTCTAGACAAAATTAAGAGACATACCTCAGTCTTAGTTTTGTCTTTCAATTGTTTAAAGATAAAAATTCTATACCAGAAAACTTTAAAGGTTTCTTTCGTGCCTGATAGGCCTATGATTATAATTTCTGATATGTGTTTACACCCATTTCTTACACAGTACACAAGTACTAGATTACAAAGTTAAAGTGACGAACACAGGAAACAGAAGCAGCTTTGTTTTCCCAGCCAGGAATAAGGAAGCTTAAGATTTAGAAATATTATAGTTTATTATCATAGACTAGAACAAAGTACAACAAGCAAAATGTGTCACCAGCAGATAAAAGCCTGAACAGGGCTTAAGTATATAGCCACAATTAACAATGTCTCACCTTCTATCTACCTTGGCTTTAAATTAACACTTGAACTTTTAGGAACTATTTTCTACAGTAAAAAACACATGTCTTTATTGTAGTATTTTTGCTGCTTCTGTCATTTAGTAGAGTCCTATATATCACTAACTGTAAAGGCTCTGTCCCTGAATCTGTGTTCTCTCTCTGATGGGAGAAGGATAGAAGTGTTCATACATTCCATTCCTCATGCTTCTTTTATACTTTTATACCATTCAGGATGGCCTTCCACTAGCCTCACATCAATCAACAAGGTTACATAATCAAATATTCTAAGACCATGTTATATAAAGACGTTCTTAATTAAGTGTCTTCAATTTACAGTAGCTTAAAGATCAGCTTAAAGTAGGCAACAGGTATGGTAACTCAGTCACCTAAATAGAGTCCCCTCTGAATCTAGTTCTTGGTATGTATAATCAAGTAGAACTAAATCACAGCTACTTAGAATTCTGGGAGGAAGGGAAGGGAAGGGAAGGAGCGGGGAAGGGATGGGAGGAGAAGGGAGGGAAAGGAAGGAGAGTGGGAAGGGAAGGGAAGGGAAGGGGAGGGAGGAAGAGAGGCAAGGAGGCAAGGAGGCAAAGGAAGAAAGGAAGCAGGGAGCCATCTGAGGTCAACAGGCACTGATAACACCAACAAAATTTACAGGTGATCTAACAAAATTTACAGTTAGCTTTGGACCTATTTACCAAGGTACCCAAATCTATAAGCATGACCTGCAATCTCATTTGATCCTTTGGTTCATATAACTTGCTGAAATAGAATAGCAACTATCAATATTAGGAAAGATTTCCTGGGTATCTTTAAATAAATCCTGAGAAAAGAGATGTGAATGGATAGAGCTGCTGTCAAGAATTTGTAGCTCAATTATTCTTTGCTAAACCACCATAACAGGGTTAATCACAGCTGATGCCAGGTTGCAAAGTTAGAGCCTGAAACAAAGACTCAGATCTGGCTTTAATGGATATTGCATAAAAAATCATGAAGATAAGTGTAGAGTCTTGTTGCCAAGCCAAAAAGAAAACAAAGTTATTAAGCTAATTTCAACCACATCAGATATCAGAGTCAGGAGAAACAGAGAATATCAGTTTAAGTTTAAAAATCTAAAACAAATGAAGCTAGAGAAACCACCAGCAGAGAAGAGACTGTCCCAGGCCTTAAATGCCTAACACCACCTATTAATGATTTCCTTTAATTCTTAGCCTATGGATTCAATGTCTCACATTCACCTTGACCATTTTCCATACCATCTTACATATTTTTGCTCAACACCAACTTTCTTTACTCAGGTCTTTCAGAAGAAACAAGAGAGCTCATAAGCTATATAACTAGATATTTGGGAAGCATTTCTGAATTTGCCAAATGATAAATTACCTTTTCTATTTTTCAATGCTTTTTTTTGTAATCATCATAAGATTATTTTTTAATTTTAAATATATTTTAAAATATTAAGGAGTCAATATGGAATACTGCCAATAACCAAGAACTCACTCTTCAGTTTCACTAGAGAGAATCTGAATCAGTTGTTTTTCAGGTTTGTTTTTTCTTTTTAACATAACTTGGTCAAAAGAATACCCTAGATCAGTAATTTTAATTTCTTTCTTACGTTTCTAAGGTCTTATGGAGCTGTTTCAGCAGTTAACTTGGTCATTTCTCCCACTTTGGTCAGAGAAGCTCAACTTTAATATTTTATATATTAGGAAACTGTATAAGATTTAATTTGGAAAAAAAGCATTCTGCTTCAACAATATCAAATATAAACAAAAATAATAAATCTCAAAATTTTGCAAGCCACTGCATTAAAATAAGAACTAAATACGTTTGTACTAAGGGCACAATGTTAAAAGAAGAAATGATGTGAAAAAAGGCATACAGATACAGTTTTCAGTATCACGTGTATATTTAGGCTTAAATTGTAAAATCATCTGCATTTAATATACTGTCTTTTGCTTCGTAAGTACATAATAATAAACACAGGCCTGGTGCAGCAGCTCATGCCCGTAATCGCAGCACTTAGCTAGGCCAAGGTCAGAAGATCACCTGAACTCAGGAGTTTGAGACCAGCCTGGGCAACATGGCAAAACCCCATCTCTACAAAAAATTAGCCAGGCACAGTGCTGTGCACCTGTATTTCCAGCTACTTGGGAAGCTGAGGCAGCAGAATTGTTTGAACCCGGGAGGCAGAGGTTGCAGTGAGCTGAGAGTGCGCCACTGCACTCCAGCCTGGGTAACAAAGCAAGACCTTGTCCCCCCCAAAGAAAGAATAATAAACACAATATATGAGTTTTTATTATAATAAAAATACTTTTCTAGTTATTTTCATATCTCATAAAATAATACTTTGTTGGTCTGGTTCAAATAAATGCTATCTATTACTTTCTGTGGTACATGCTGCCTATAAATTCCACTAATTTTAACAAAAGAACCTGAAGCACTGCCACAGAGAAAAAGGGAAGAAAATCTATATTATTGGGTAGAAATTAGCCTTCTTTTCTTCATCAACCCTTTTCACCTCAAATCTTCCAATAAACAAAATAATCAATACATTTAAAGCCCAAAACTGCTAGCCTCAACTAAACAGAAGCTCAATGGATGAAAAGGATAAAAAATTATTACCGAAAAAGACAATTCTTTGACAAAGACCCCTGACAGCATACTTATGCTACTAATCTCATTCTGTATAAACATTTCACATAAAAGAATATAAACGTACTAGGCACGTTTTTAACTTCTAGACACTAAGACTATGAGAGAGTAGAAATGTCTACCTGTAGCCTATGTACTCTCCTTCCTGCATGTAGAATATCAACAGTAAATGATGGAGATTTGCTTTACATTTTTTAGTCTACAGTCTTTATTATACAATACCTTTTTGAACTTTGTTTTTATTTGTTTGCTTTTTTTTTTAACTTGCTAAATAGAGGTGGTAGCTATCAGCAGGTGTGTTTTTCTGCCAAATTAAATAAAAGCCTATTTCAACAAAACAGTATGAATATTCCAAGTAGTTATTATAAAATTTGAATAGATGTCTTAACATTTCCTAATCATGTCCTCTGTGTTCATTGGGATATGCCATTTTCCAGTAACATACCACACAACTTGAAGGAACTCTGCATATTTGATCAATTTATAGTAGTAATAAATTACATAACAATATTTTTATATTGAATAGCCAAACAAGCTGAACTTTCTTTATACAGTATTTCCTAAATGCATATATTGGCATTTTAATCATATTGGAACACTCCATCTTGCCAAGTTCAAGATACAATGACAAATAAGAGTTGACAGAAAATAAAGTAATACCTTGGTATACTTTTTAATTTTAGTATTTGTAACACTCACCATCAACTGTAACTAGTTTCAATGCAGCTAGAAATTCATCCTTTTTTAAATTACTATTCAAACTAGACAGAATATTCCACAGGTCAGAAACACTCATCGTCTCCTTTCTGAGATTGTCGAGGGTTTCAATAGCATCAGGCAATACTAAAGGGTAGATAAAACACAAGTTTTACGAATGCTTATCCAAGAAGTTCACACAGTAAACTGTCATCTGGAATAGACAAAAATTAAGGTTTTTATGGTTTAAAAGAATAATAAATATAGCATAAATGAACTGCCAACTTTCAAATATGAAAACATAAAATATTTAGCCTCAAATATAATGTATTTTTGAGGATCTTGAAATATTTTAAGAACTTAGTGCCCCAACCCTGAATAAACATTATAAATAATAATTTTTATTGAATTTAGATTTTTAAAAGTGTGAATTCAGAAACATTTTCAATTGATAATACAATTAAGTAGCTTTTGTTCTATATCTCTCCCTAAAATTCTCCTCTGGCTCCTACTTCCTCTTCAATCTATTACTGTAGACAATAAAAAGAAAGACTATTTCAATGCAAAATCATTGAAGCATCTTAAACAAAGGAGTGAAATTATCTTACTACAAATTTGTAAAAAGTCACTGTGTTGCTATATAGAGAATTGATTCTCAGGAAGATTAGACAGTTAGGAAGAGCCAGCAGACATTAGTGACCAAGATTTTATTTATAACCTGTACGATCTTCTCAGCTGTGTGATTTTCTCCAGAAATGCTGTCAGACACAAGAAGGAAGGTAATTGGGTTCATTCGGGGTTGAGAGTTTTGCCAGATAGGTGCAACAAAAGTACACGGAGGCAAGATAGTCTAGGGTATTAGGTATGTATAGACAAGATAATTTAAACCAAATAAGGAAGAAAAGTGAAAACAGGAGGAGACTGATAGATTAGGAGAAAGCGGAGGGGTAAAGGGATGTAAGGTCCCAATGAGGTATATGGAACCAATAAAGAAGACATGCTCTGAGCAGTCTAATGAAGAAAAAAGAAAAAGAAGTAAACACAAACATGCAATATTAACGATGAGATGTAAAATACAATGACAGAGATAGATTAGGTAATATACTATATAACTCTGTGCTAATAAAATTTTAATCTCCATAAAACTGAAATTCCTAGGAAAAATGAAGTAACTGACAAACTATCTCTTTCTCTGTATGATGTACCCCTGTATAGGAGACAAATTAAATCTTATATTGTAAAGTAAAAAGAGTTGCTACTTAAAATCTACTGTTACCTAACATGTAAGAACAAAATAACACAATGTTACTTTCAGTCCCAATTTTTAGAATGCATACTAATTTCACTCCATTAAAAATATACATATGTGACCTTACATTTCTTTATGGTGAGCTTCTGAGCAGCAAAACTATCTTTTCCATATTACCACACTTACAGCTTAACATAAAGCCTAGTACATATTAAAGGTTCATAAATGTTACTGAATAAATTGGAAGACAGAAATGGCAACAGATGTAACCAGAAATTCTCATATTAGTACTCAGCCACTAGATGGCATCATTTTTCCTAAGTTGAAAGACATTTTAAATCCCCAAAAGGAATGCTATACATGGTTCTAGCCCTCTATAAGTGTGCTAATGAAAAATAAAATTATGATAGCTCTTAATTCACTTGCATGTAGAAGACGTTCTAGAATCAGGGGTCATTACAGGGGATTAAAGCCAAATATAGCAGCAGGAAGCCAGGCATTTATTTGTCGGATGATCTGCAGGATACCCAGCTCTATAAGAGACTAAAATAGAGTGTTTACGCTCTTCTAAAATCTGTCAAACCCTTTGGTCCACAAAAAGCAGAAGACGTGATATTCTTACATACATAATTTTTCAGAGAAGCATTCCGTGTTGCTCATCATAGTATCAATGAATTCTTTAAAATTCACTTTTTTTGTTTCTACAGGAAAAAGAAACACATTTTCTTCAGTATCTTTTAAGTATTAAATTATTATGAAAAATATTATGTAAAATAAGCTATATATTCAGAAATATATAATTATATCCATCAGGTAATACTAACCAATAAAAATACATGGGTATAAAGGGGAAAAGCAAATCAATTTACAGTAGAGAAGTAAACACTGAAAAACACCAAGAAAACTGGTGAAAATTCTTCCAGTCCTTCTCAAGCATACATAATATTTTTAACTTTTATTTATGTATTTATTTATTTTTGAGACAGAGTCTCGCTTTGTTGCCCATGCAATCTCAGCTCACTGCAACCTCTGCCTCCCAGGTTCAAGCGATTCTCCCACCTCAGCCTCCCAAGCGACTGGGATTACAGGCACGTCACCATGCCCGGTTAATTTTTGTATTTTTAGTAGAGACGGGGTTTCCACTATATGAATACACAATGGTGTATACTGCAATTTATTTATACATTCTGTGGATGAATATCATGTTGCTTTCTTTCTCTTTTTTTGCCATTAAGATCAGTGCTGCCATGTACATTCTTGAACATGCTTCCTGGTACTTAAGTCCAAGAGATGTTCCAGGATTTATAGCTAAGAATAGTATTTCTAAACTATGGGGTATGCAAACTTTACAAGATACTGCATATTGTTTTCCAAAGTGGTTTTACCACTTTCACCATATTTACCGGTACTTAGAATAACATATTTCTTAATTTTTCCCAATTTTAGCGGATATAAAAATGTATCTCATGAGCCAGGCATGGTGGCTTGTGCCTGTAGTCCCAGCTACTCAGGAAGATGAGGTAGGAGTTTGAGCCCAGGAGTTTGAGGCCAAAAGATCTCTCTTTTTTTTTTAAGTACCTCATTATGACCTAAACTTTGCACTTCCCTAATTACTAAGGATGTTGAGAACCTTTTCATGTGATTATTAGCAACTTGTGCCTTCATGTGGAAAATTTTTATAATTTCTATTGAGTTGTTAGTTTGTAAAAGTTGCCTATATATTCTCTACGATAATCATCACTGTTGTGAGTGTTGCAAATAACCAGTTTGTGCCTTGTATTTCACTCTCTTTGTTGTATCCTTTAACAAAGAGAAGTTCTTAATGTATTCAAATTTATCAATCTTTTCTAGTTTCTTATTTCGCATCTTAAAAAATCCTATGTCAGAAAATTTTTCTTCTATTTGTTTTCCAAAACTTAGTTTTCACACCTGGATATTATTGAATATGGTGTGAGACAGGGATGTAACTCTATTCTTTCCATTTGAATAAGTAATTATTTCAGTACCATTTATTAAATAGTCCTTCTTTCCCCAGTTATCCACCACTTTATCATATGTGTTGCCATGTATGTTTGTGAATATGTTTGGAAGTTCCTTATCTTGTCCTATTGGTAAATTTCTCTATCCCTGTGCCATTCTTACACTCTTTTAGTGACTATGGCTTTACAAGGAGTGTTGATATCCAGGAGAGCAAGTTCCTCCCAACCCCCACTCCCCAACACACACACATCTCCACAAATGTTCTTCTTCAAGAGTGCTTTAGCTATTCTTAGCCTTTAACCATTCATATAAATATTAGAATTAGCTTACAAAAAAGTCAGGGTTTAATTAGAATTGCTTTGAACAAATAGGTTAATTAGAGAATTGACAGTTTTGGGTCTCTGAATCTACAGACATGGGATACATTCTTATTTATCTAGATTTTAATGTCTTCACAAAGTCTTATTTTCTCTATATAGGTGTCATACAACTTAGACATATTCCATTTTTTACTTTTTATTATGGAAAATGTTAAATATATACAAAATAGAAATAATAGTGTAATATGTTCATATACGATCTCTAGCATCAACAATGATCAACTCATAGACAATATTATTTCACCTATCACCCCAGTTTCCTGTCAAGCCACTCTCACCCATTCCCTTTAGAAGAGCTGCTGCTAGGTTATATGGGCACAGATACTCAAAACTGGTATACCTTTATTGTGAATTGTAGGCTTTGACATAATAATGAATCCTTATTTGCCCCCATTTAATGCCTTTCGTCCTGACTTCTACCTTGTCAGACAGCAATACTACAAATTCTGCTTTCTTTTTGTTTACATTTTTGCCTAGGAAAAAATCTAAAAAAGACTATTTAAAAAATAAATAGAAATTTTTTTTAATTAAAAAGACTATTAATACTGGTTAATTCTAAATAATGGGCGTTTGAGTGTTCTGTTGTACTTTTGAGTATTTCCATACTTTCTGGATCAGTTTAAATTTAACTTTTTATAATAAAAATATTAGTCATTTTTCTAAGGCAAAAAATAACAAATTGACCCTCCTTCCAGATGTGTCAATGCAGTTTGCCCGAAAATATATCACTCACCACCAGCTTCAGTCAATTCTGTGATCTTCTTAAATTCTGGCTTAGAAAGGTAAATACCAAAATCTTGAAGACAAGTATTTAGATCCTCATAATCCACATTTTTATCTTTAATTTTATCAATGGCTTTAATGACACCAGGCAATGCTAAAAATAAAGGAGTATGCTAATAAGTATTAAAAGTAAGTCAAAAATAAAACACCACTAATAAGATGAATTTTAGTTCTAACACTAAATTAACAAAAATATAAATCACTTCAGCAATGTTACATACTAAAAGCATATCTAGAATCTTTAATAAAAAAACCAGTAAGTATCAAAATCAAAGTCAAAAATATATTTTTCTAGGCCACACACAGTAGCTCACACCTGTAATTCAAACACTTTGAGAGACCAAAGCGGGAGAATCACTTGAGGCCAGGGATTTGAAAGCAGCTTGGGCAACAAAGCAAGACCCCTGTCTCCACAAAAAACTAAAAAATTAGCTGGGCATAGTGGTGTGAGCCTCTATTCCTAGCTACTGGGGAGGCTGAGGTGGGAGAATTGCTTGAGCCCAGAAGACGGAGGGTGAGGTGAGCTATGATAGTACCACTGTGCTCCAACTTGGGCAACAGAGCAAGACCATCTCAAAAAATATGATAGATAGATAGATACACATACACATATACATTATTCTACTATAGTCTCTGAACCTAAGGAAGCACCAATTTAATTGCACTGATAGTACAACTAAAATACATAGGAACAAAATATTACCTAATTTCTCCATTTAATTCAACAATTTAAAATTCTTTGTACTCTGCTTCTCAGTAGCAGAAATAGAAGCAGAAAATTTTCAATCCAAAATGATAAACTTGGATAATTTTGTGGCAATACATGGCTCAGTCTTTGGTAAATTCACCTTAGTTAATCTTTCTAAATATACATATTATTACTTAGGAATAACTATTCTACATCTCTTCTTATAATAACTTGGAATTTACACGTCATAAATTTGGTCAGTATTTTCTCCATAAAATTTAAACTGATAAATTTTTACTGCAATTAAAGCATTCTTAAAGGAAATTACTTACAAATATACTGAACTCTTAAGAAGGTTAGCTAACTGGAATTCATCTGGTTTAATCAGAAAATTTCAAAGTAGAGGTGGCACCTTAAATCACTTGAAGGAAATAATGAAAAAACAGAGAGAGAGAGAGAGGGTGTATAAAAAAACAGAAGTTGTGTGTGTATGTTTGTATATTGTGTGAGAATATTGTTTGTGTATATCATGTTTGTATATTCCATCCCTCTCTCAATAAGTTTTATAATATACAAACATACACAATATATACACATACACACATATACACACAAAAACTCTAGAACAAATTAAACTCAAATAGGTTTTCTCTAATTCATTAGGACAGGTAAAGTAGGAAACTGGGCAGTAGAGGGCATTAAAGCCATTACCAGATACAAACTTCAAGTAGTCACTGGAAATCATTATGGCTTTCTAAACAAACAAGTGATGATCAAACTGATGTCTGAACTTGATGATTCTTAAAGTGATTATTTAAAAGATGATTCTTTTAAAGAAGATGTGTAAATAGTACAGCAAGATACGTGTCCCTATCTTGTGAAAGAAATTTTTAAGTGAACAAAATTGCCATTTAAAAGTTAAAATCTCTTTTTTAATTTTACAGGTAGAAACAGCAAGCCACCTTAAGCAAATGTGAGATACAATGGAAAATCATTTGCAGTCACCATAGGGATAGAATAACAGAAACATTTTTCTTTCATCAGCTTCTATACATCCAATACCACATGGAATGCAGAAATCTGGGGAAAGGGTGGACCATTTATACAAAAAGCCCAGGAAAAAGAAGAGAACGAGTTTCCAACTATTATTCTTGAGATTCAAAGTTAGCATAATCTATCAGAGAGGGATAGGGTTAAAAAAAAAAAAAAAAAAAAGATGAAATGAGAGGCCTAGTCACTGTACTGAGTCAGCAAGGGGAAAATATGGTTCTAAATTCATAAGGTGGCTGATAAGAACTCTATTCTCACCTAACCCTCTAAGACTTGGGATTGTTTCCTATAAAGTGGCTGCTGAGTGAACATAAAGAGTCATACCTTTGAGAATCTTGTTTAGCTTGTCATGGGGCTTTCTTGCTTGAACTCAGACAATGTTTCCTTGATGCAGGTCCATATAAAGAGCTATACACTTGGGAGTACAGGCCAGTTTCACTACAAAGCTCTCCTGGCTAAGCATTAACACTTAGCATACAGCCTGAAGAAGAATCTCCCCTACCACCAGTATTATTAGCAGAAGAAGAGGACGTTTTAACTCCAGTCATACATCTAATGTATTCTCTCAGCATCAGCAGTTTCAGCTAGTAGCTAGTTCCAGACTTTCCTCATGAAAGTTGCAACAACAACTTCCTAGTCTAGGCAAATAACAGCCTAAGCGTCTGTCATTTCAAAGCAACCAATCTCTATTGGTTGTAGCAGTCCCCACTTTCAAGATGTAAGTTAACTGAATTCAGGCTTCAGATACACAGAGAGACAGACATAAGTACAAGAAAGACTGGCTAATTAGATATAGAAAACAACAGGAAATGTATAGACCATGGTAGGAAGGGGTTGAGAAGCATATTGAGCTTCCTACTATTCTGCCCATACAGGGATGCAAACATTGCATTTTAGAATATTCCTAGCATGAGAGGAGACACAACGGATTATTCCCATCCAAAGTGTGAATTATGATACTCCAGTAACACTAAATTGATTAGAAGTATAGAAGAAACAAAAGCAGCTAGTCTATTTGGTCAGGTACAGCAAGGTTCACTGTGACTTAAGGCTAAAGCAATATATTGACAACAAAGGGACAGAAAAAAGAATGTCCAATAAGAATCACCATTAACAGGCTAGAAAAAGCAAAGGAGCATTACACTGAAGTAATACAACCAACACTAATAAACTGGGGTGGTAGAAAACACATTAAGAAAGATGATAAATTTCAACAGAATGGAACTATAAAAGCAAAACCTGGAAGAAAGCTATCAGTTTGCTATTATCAGATCCAAATCTCAACTTTAAGTGAATTAATGCAAATATTTTTATGAACTTTTTAGTAAATCATATAAAAAAAGGAATCTAATCTAGAAACTTCAAAAAAAATTACTGAGAAAGGGGTGGAACAACATGGCCAAATAGAAGTTTCCACTAATTGTCCCCTAGCAGGAGCACCAAATTTAACAATTATCTACACAAAAACAGCACATTCATAACTAACAACGTGGTGAGCACTCAAAGTACCTGGTTTTAACTTCATATCACTGAAAGAGGCACTGAAGAGGGTAGGAAAAACTATCTTGAATCATCAATGCCATCCCTCCCTCATCCCCCAGCAGCAGCCACGTGGTACAGAGAGAGAATCCGTGTGTTTGGGAGAGAGAGAGCAGTGATTGTGAAACTTTCCATTGTATCTGCTGCCCGGTCACAGCAGAAAGCAAAACCAGGCTGAACTCAGCTGATGCCCACCTACAGACAGAGATGAGGAACTTGTTGGGAATTGCAGTAAAGGTGACTTTGGTACATTTTAGCAAAGAGACTGGTAGCATTTTGCCTCTGCCCTAGAGATTTGTGGAACTTTGAACTTGAGGGAGATGATTTAGGATATCTGGTGAAAGAAATTTCTAAGCAGCAAAGCATTCCAGAGGTTACCTGGGTACTGTTAAAAGCATCAGTTTTAAAAGGGAAACAGAGCATAAAAGTTCAGAAAATTTGCAGCCTGACAATGCAATAGAAAAGAAAAACCCATTTTCTGAGAAGAAATTCAAGCCAGCTGCAGAAATTTGCATAAGTAATGAGGAGACAAATGTTAATCACCAAGACAATAGGGAAAATGTCTCCAGGGCATGTCAGAGACCTTTGTGGCAGGCCCTCCCATCACAGGCCTGGAGGCCTAGGAGGAAAATATGGTTTCCTGGGCCAGGGCCAGGCCCCCCTGCTATGTGCAGCCTAGGTACTTTGTGCCCTGCATCCCAGCCACTGTAGCTATGGCTAAAAGGGGCCAAGGTACAACTCGAGCCATGATTTCAGAGGGTGCAAGCCCCAGGCCTTGGCAGTTTCCATATGGTGTTGAGCCTGCAGGTGCACAGAAATTGAGAATTGAGGTTTGGGAACTTCTGCCTAGATTTCAAAGGATGTATGGAAATGCCTGAATGTCCAGGCAGAGGTTTGCTGCAGGGATGGGGCCCTCATGGAGGACCTCTGCTAGGACAGCACAAAAGGGAAATGTGGGATTGAAGCTCCCACACAGTCCCCACTGGGGCACTGCCTACTGGAGCTGTGAGAAGAGGGCCACCATCCTCCAGACCCCAGAATGGTAGATCTCCTGACAGCTGGCACCACGTGCCTGGATAAGCTGTAGACACTGAATGCCACCCCATGAAAGCAGCCAGGAGGAAGGCTGTACCCTGCAAAGCCACAGGGGCAGATGTGCCCAAGACCATGGGAACCCACTTCTTACATCAATGTGATCTACATGTGAGACACAGAGTCAAAGGAGATCATTTTGGAGCTTTAAGATCTGTCTGTCCTGCTGGATTTCAGACTTGCATGGGCTCTGTAGCCCCTTTGTTTTGGCCAATTTCTCCGATTTGGAATGGCTGTATTTTCCCAATGCCTATACCCTCATTGCATCTAGGAAGTAACTAACTTGCTTTTAATTTTACAGGCTTATAGGTGGAAGGGACTTTCCTTGTCTCAAATGAGACTTTGGACCATAGACGTTTGAGTTAATGCTGAAATGAGTTAAGACTTTGGGGAACTGTTGGGAAGGCATGATTGGTTTTGAAATGTGAGGACATGAGATTTGGGAGTGGCTGGGGGTGGAATTATATGATTTGGCTGTGTCCCCACTCAAATATCATCTTGAATTGTAGCTCCCATAATTCCCATGTGTTGTGGGAGGGACCCGGTCAGAGTTAATTGAACCATGGAATCATGGGAGCAGTTTTCCCCACACTGTTCTCATGGTAGTGAATAAGTCTCACAAGATCTCATGGCTTCATAAAGGGAAACCCCTTTCACTTGGCTCTCATTCTCTCTTGCCATTGCCATGTAAGAAGTCCCTTTCACCTTCCACTGTGATTGTGAAG